ATCCTATTTGAGTGACGTTACGACTCCACCCTGGCACCATTCTAGAGGAATAACATGTTCTCCGGGCCGCCTCTCTTGGTTTTCAATGTCATGGTGTGAAAGATAACAAAAACAAAAAGAGTAGTAGGTAACATACCGGCCTACGTGCGTACACAGGCAGATGTTTGAGGCAACGTCGCGCTAGGCTTGGCCCATTTTGTAGACGCTTGAGGCAAAGCATTCTTTGGTCTCGCAACAAGAGAGATCTAGAAATGCCCCTCCAACATGAGGGCCCGAGAGCATACAAGCAGGCCCAGGTGGAAAAAGCAAGCCCAGTTTGATGTAGATGGGCCCAGTGATTCTTGTGTGCGCGAATCAAATGGCCCGGTGACAATAGTTATCCAAACGACTTTGGGCTCCTAGACCCATGCTGTCATTTTCAGACAACACTTGCCTTCCTTTTTCTTGTGAAAATAAACTTGCCCTCATTTTGTGTTTGCTCATTATGGGATGTGCTATATTCATCGCTGTAAGTGATAGCATGACTAGTTTCACTACACTGCCCGTTCATGGCCCTAGTCCACCAAAGTGAAAGGAGGCACGCGCGGGCAACCGACTAGCACAAGCGCTCATATGTATTTCTTTTCCATTTCTATCTCTCTTCAAGTTTTATCTAATATTTTGTTGTCTTGATTTTGTTTAGTAGGGCCGTTAACCTAAAAAAGGTTCACAAATGTGGAAAAAATAGGTGAATTTAAAAATGTGTTAGAATTAAAATATAGTCGTCGATTTTTTGAAAGTTCAATAATTTTTTTGTGATTTTGAAAAAATTTAATGAACAAAAATATATTTGAAAATATCCAATACAAGAATAAAATTAGTAAATTCTTCAAAACCAAAATCAAGGAAATTGTTCGTGACCTATTTTGAAATATTAAAACATAAGCACAGAAGTTCTATAAAGTTCAAAAAATTCAGGAAATGGTCGAGTTTTCTAATGTTTATTGGGACTAAAAATTTTCAAAATTGTAAAAATATTCACAATTTTAAAAATTCATAAATAATGTTTTTTTTGCAGAATCCCATAAAAGTTAACGGGGTAAAAAAACAAAAAAAACCCACCAAGAGTATGAAATCAGATATAAAAAGATCCAAAAGCTTCCCAAAACTTGTTGAGAAGCTCTCGGAACCTTAAATAAAATGCTCCCACATTCGGTTTTGAGAAGGTGCTATAAACGGGTTTTAGAACCTCTTTTTTGCGGGAGGGCTTTTAGAACCTTTCATGTGCATGTCTCAAAAAAGAAAAAACCTTTCATTTGTTTCTTTTCCTTTCAGTTTTTCTATGTCTTTTTTATCAGTTTTCCTCACTTTGGTTTCCATTTTTATATTATTTTTTTACTTTAAAGTACATGTCGACTTTTTACAATGCACGGTGTACATTTTTTGTATTCATGCGTACTTTTTTTTAGATATGTATTGAACATTAATCAAATACATGATGAACATTTATTCAAATACATATATACTTTTCAAATAAATGTTAAACATTTTTAAAATAAGCATGTACGTTTTTTGAATGGTACCGAATATAGTTTTAAATCTATGTGAACATTTTTTACATTGTATAAACATTTCTGAAAAATTCCAAAACATATTCTTGAAATGAGTGAATAATTGTAAAAAAATGTCAGATACTACCCTTTTTGAATCGTACATTTTTTTACAATTGTACGATTCAAAAAGGGTAGTATCTGACATTTTTTTTTGCAATATAATTAAGCATGTACGTTTTTTGAATGGTACCGAACATAGTTTTACATCTATGTGAACATTTTTTACATTGTATAAACATTTCTTAAAAATTCCAAAACATATTCTTGAAATGAGTGAACAATTGTAAAAAAATGTCAGATACTACCCTTTTTAACATGTTCATGTGTTTCAACAAAATGTTTGTAACATTTTTGAAAAAAACATCTACACAATGTAAAAAACTGTTCGCATAATTTAAAATAAAGTATTATCTAAAAACTGTTCAAACATTTCAGAATTTATTTTTCAATGTATAAAATATTTGCATAATTTTAAAAATGTATGTAAAGTAATTTTGAAATATGCATATTTTTTTGGAATACAAACAAAAGTAAATAAATAAGGAAAAAACCAAAGAAACAAAACAAACAAACAAACTAACTAATGGGACAACCCAGTACAGTGTCACGCAGAGGCGAGACGGATGTTCCTTTTATTGCGGGGAGAGACATATCCACTCCCATATGTACCGCTGTCTATAACTAGCATATCCACTTGCAACAATGTCTATAGGTTCCATTATGTCCTACAAAAAGGCTCCATTCAAAAAGTAAATAGATTTATTTCAAGTGCCCCCCAAAAAACTTGTTTGTTCAGTTCATCAGTTTATTAACTACAACTAAAGCATGTGTAACAAGCAATGATAAGAGAAAACCATACCAACATCGCACTGGTTGCTAATGTCAAAACTGATGGCCACCTTCATGCTAATTACATGCACATGAGTTGAATACCAGTGAGCACACAAAAATTACGCCCAATGTAAGCAAAGCCTAGAAGGTTTATGGATGGACAATACCATCTCAAATGCAAGTAAATAGCATAAAGCAATCACAATTGGGGCTTCCATCGCGAAAAATGACCACATTACATAGACCTAACCAAATGCTATCACTTTTGGTATTTTTTTTTGCAAAACACTACCAGTTTGAGTTATTTGCCGCTTCGACCATTTTAAGCACGATTCTGACAGGGCGGGCTCTCATCTGACATGCCATGTTAGCAGGCTGGCTGACGACGACGAATAGACGCCCAGTAGTGCCGCGTTGGTCGTGGGCTCGGTTGGACCAGATCGCAGCGTCGGTCAAAATGGAGCCCACTTACTCTTCCTTGAGCTTAGCCCCTCTGCAGCTCACTCTACAAACGTATGTACGTTTTTCCAAAATGATGTGTAGTCAGGTAACTGCATAACTAGGCCCTGGCGCCGCCACTGTGTGCCACCTCAACCCATGAGTTCCTACTTGAACAACTCTGCTGCCAACCTATACTCCTTGTCATCGACCTAATAAAGCATCACGACCAAGTCTATAACTGCCATCTATCTGTCCTTTGCAATTGTGGTGCCCATCACAGGCTCTTGCGCCAGACTGTCATGTGGTATCCTGATCCCGACCTTGACAAAACACAACCCCATGATCCACGATGTGTGGGATGGCCTCCTCATTGCCTCGTTCCATGAGCGTAACGAGCCCTGCATCGTATTGTCCCATGAGTGTGGTGGACTCTTCGACATCAACAACCTGACTATGTGACAGTGTGCTCCCCTCCCATTGCTTCCCAAACCAAACCATGGCCGATTGTTCAGAACTAGCATACTAGCTTCTACCAGCATCCTTCATCTAAAGAATGATGGGTACTCTACTTAGTATGGAGAATGAAAGATAATGGTTATACTTTCAATGCTAATTTTTACCTGACAGGTCCATGCCACTAAGGCTAAGCTAGCGACTGGAGTGAAGTCGTAACAAGTTAGTTGTAATGGAAGGTGCAGCTAGATCACTTTCTTTTTAGGACGGGCAACTGCCAATGGAGCATTCACTGGATGGATCACCTGCTCTTCTAATGCGCATGTTTCCCACCGTGGCAGACAACATTGGTGCTTGGCACAACACTATAATGTTTTCAGCAACACAATAGTATTCAACACCGTGGCTGAGACATTCTGATTGATGCGTTGTCCAACCCTACTTTATCTTCAGGCATCACTGGTGAAGATGGGTCATGCACTTGCGACGTGTGCCGGTTCTAATGGCATCATATTGTAGATGCTTTTGTGATGTGGGATTATGAGGTAAAGGTTTGGGCCTTAAGGTCTTGGATTGAGATTTTTTTGAAACTATCATGTTTTTTATAGCAAATTCGGAAACTGTATGACTGAACGCATAAAAATCAAATCTATGACCCTGTCGGCCTCCTGCTGGCCGAAGATGAGCTTTTCGGCCAACTCCAGGCCGAAGTACAGTCTTCGGTCTGCTTGCGGCCAAAGAGTGGTGGAACAGGGCCGAAGAGCACTCTTTGGTCATCTGTAGGCCGAAGAGTACTCTTTGGTAATCTGTAGGCCGAAGAGTCCTCTAGGACCCATCTCTTCGCTTAAACGGCAGGACGAAGTTGCATGGCTCCTAGAGGACTCTTTGGCCTACAGATGACCAAAGAGTACTCTTCGACCTACAGATGACCAAAGAGTGCTCTTCGGCCTTGTTCCATCACTCTTCGGCCGCAAGTAGACCGAAGACTCTACTTCGGCTTGGAGTTGGCCGAAAAGCTCATCTTCGGCCAGCAGGAGGCCGACGGGGTCATAGATTCGATTCTTATGCATCAGGATGTATAGTTTCCGAATTTGCTATAAAAATCATCATAGTTTCAAAAAAAGAAATCTTGGATTGATTTGTAGACACCGGAGGTGCCACCACAACTTGATCTAAAGGTGAGACATCTAAGCGTGATTGCTATGCTCAACGAGCGTGAGTTGCTGATCGAATATGTATGGCATGCAATAAGATTGATGAAGATGAGATGTGTTATTTTGCATGTCCATAGAATGATATGCTTCCTTTTACCTTGTAATATATTCTTGAAATCTTTGTCATATTTGTTGCATCCTTCTGGTGCTATGTATGTAACCAGTAGATGTACTTGGATTGGATATATATTTTTTGGTTGGGATGAAGTAGCATTATTTTCGATGCAATCATCTAAAGGCGAGTCGTTGGAGTGCACGATCTGATTAGTGCGAGTCGTTGGAGCCATGTATGCATGCGTCAGAATTAAAGTAAGTCTCGGATGCGTCGTGTTCTAAATTTGTAATTAGTTTAGGCGCCACGAGATCATGCTCCCTCCATAAACTATAACGGCTCGATGTGGTGACCGCACCAACACCCATTCAAATCATAGCCAAGACGGCCAGCTTCGCCTCCCCTCCCACACCAGCCATGGCCCAACCGGCAGCACCAGCTCCAGCTCCACCGATGAGTTCACCAGAGAGCGCCACCGCCACCGAGAGCTCACCGGAAGACGCCCTATCCGAAGAGAGCCTCAAGGGCTTCATATCCTCGCTCCCGTCAAGGGAGGGGTGGCCGAAGCCGCTCATCCAGTACAAGGGCTACTGGTTCAAACCGGGGATCCTGGATGGGGTCCTGCACGCCAGACAGGCCTTCGCGCCCCGCGCCGACGACGTCGTCCTCGCCACGCAGCCCAAGTGCGGCACCACCTGGCTCAAGGCCCTCGCCTTCGCCATTGCCACCCGGTCCCGTCACGACCTCGGTGCCGCCGATCACCCGCTTCTCACCCGCCACCCACAGCACCTCGTGCCGTTCATCGAGATCCCGGGCGCTGCTGGCGGCCATGTTGACCTCAGCGCGCTCCCGTCCCCGAGGCTCCTCGCCACGCACATGCCCATGTCGCTGCTCCGGCCGGAGACGCGGTCGCTTGGGTGCCGCGTCGTGTACCTGTGCCGGGACCCCAAGGACACACTCGTCTTCAGGCTGCACTTCGAGAACAAGCTGGTCGCACGGGGTGGCGGCGCCGGCCTGTCCATGGACGACGCCTACGGCATGTTCTGGGAGGGGTTCTCGCCCTACGGCCCCTTCTGGGACCACTGCCTCGAGTACTGGGAGGAGAGCGTAGCCAGGCCGGACACCCTCCTCTTCCTCAAGTACGAGGAGATCAAGTTGTTGGTTTTGATCTGACGGCTTAAACAAGCCAGTTAGATCTATTAGTCTAACAAAAAAAAGGAAAAGATAACGTTAAAGGAAAAGGCCCCACGCACCAACGTACGTGGGCTTTTTATCCCAACTGAGGCGCCTTAATCGGGGGCACCCAAACCAACTGATGGTTTAGGTCCCCTGTCGCCAGCGCTAGATAAAAGGGAACGGGAGAGGGTTGGCAGCCTGCGCGATCACAATTCACGTACGGTTTCACTCCCCTCCCGATATTCTCTCACCCCATCTGATCAGGGGGAGCGCTGCAGCGACGGGAAGACCTACTCCAGCCGCTGCTGCCGTCGCCGGGCAGTGCCGGTGGCGTCCTGAGGGCATCAGGACGTTGAGGAGGACTTCTACCTCGACTACATCACCTCTGCATCAAGCCTGCACCAAGCAGGCGATCATGTCCACTTCCGTGACACGTAATGATCCCCTAAACCTTTTCTCTGTTCATGTTTTAGGTGTTCTAGATGCAATCTGTTCCTGCTAATAGCATCCCAGAGATGCATAATTTTTCCAACAATGGTATCAATCGCCAGATATGATTGCTTTTAGATCCCTATATCATGTTCAGTAAACCAATCTCAAGTTTAGGCCCTCTGTAGATCAAGTTTGATTGCTACTGTTTTTTGATGTTGATGTCAATTGCCCACTGTTGATGATGTTTTAATTCCAATTTGCTACGGATCAGTATTGCCACCTAAGTTCATCAATTCTAATTAATCTAAGTTAAGATCTAATGCTCACCTTCATGTTAAGTTGATTAGTATTGATCATGTTTAAGTCCTGTTTCCGTATGCATTATCAACATAGAAGGCAGAGGGATACACGCACGTCAACAGTAGCAACCCCTCATGTGTAAGAACCCTAGATTTTTTCCCCAAATTCGTAAGAACCCTAATTCTGCAATTAGGAATGTTTTCCCCCAAATCAAGCACTGATGTACACGATTTGAAAAGAATGAGGAGAATCCTCACCTAACGCGCCGCGTACTCGCCTCTTCCCTTCGGGGCCCGCGCAGCGCCCACCGTTGCGCGAGGGTGAAGACGCCGCGACGCCGCCGTCCTCGGGACGACGCACGGAACGAAGTGGCGCCGCCGCCGCTGCCGCTCAAATGGACGCGCCCTTGTTTGGCCGACGCCGAGCAAGTCGCCGTCGTTCCTCATGCCGCGGTGGCCGGCGTCCCTCCACCCTCCTTGATGCGCCATGTGCACGGACGCTGGGGCCACGCTCGACGGGGGAGCGCGCGGGATTCATCCTGCTGCACGCTCCTCCGGCGAGCGCAGCCGCCGCGCCGCCATGGCCGGCGCGCCTCGAGCCGCCGTCGAACGCCATCGCCGCTCCCTGTCGAGCGTGAAATGCGGGGGGTCGAGGGGGAAATGAGCTAGGGTTCTGGCCGGGCGGCTGTTTTTGTTCCAGCCGCGATCGACGCGGACTGTCGATTCCAATCGGACGGCCGGCAGCATCGCTCGGCTCCGCGCTGGGCCGGCGGACGCCAATGGGCCGATTCCGGCTGTGGGCTGCGGCCCAGGTTATGTCAGTCCAGCGAAAACACACACACAAAAAAAAATTCTGGGCTGGGCCGTTTTACGTGTAGCTGTGGGGTATTTCGGGCCAAAATCACTGTCGCGATTTTCTGTTTTTCCAGTGCGTTTAAGTTAATAAATATTATGATTTGCACTGCTTAAACCAGAAAATGCGTAAAAATGTAATAAACACATTATTATTCTGGGTAAAATTGAACCAACGAGATATTTTATTCAGGATTTATTATGTGTTTTTGGATGATGAAGTTTTTTTTTGGACATCAAATAATGATAATGTTTTTTTATGTTGATGCTTAAATTAAGAATGAAATGACTCTAATTTTAATTCGGACCAACGTTGTTTTATTATTATGAGTCATCCCCTATGATATTTTAAATCCATGTTTTTTCTGCCCAACGGTGTTTTGACATGGAGTTGAAATTAAATACTTGGCATGTTTGTTTATTTACCAACGTAAATTTATAATCATGCAACTTTACTTATGAACTTTTATGATGATTTCAGCTTCCGCTCCATTCCAGTCCGACACGATCGAACCACTTACGGGGAGTAACTTCCCTCGTTGGAAGTCCCAAGTCGAATTATGTTTGGGTTGTAATGAATTTGACTATGCCTTGAGGGAAGAAAAACCTGTGGCACCTGTGGCGGGTGTCACAGGGTATGCAGAACTCAAGAAGGAGTATGATGTTAAGATGGAAAAGTGGAATAAGTCCAACCATATTGCGCTTCTCATCATGAAAGCGACAATATCGCCGGACATTTCTGAAGCACTCCCTAAGAAAGATACTGCTAAAGATTTCCTCACTGAAATGGAGGAGCAATTTAAAGGCTCCGACAAAGTGTATGCTCATGAGCTTTTTGCTAAACTTCTTCAGAAATACACTATTGACGGAAATGTTAGGCATCACATATTGAGGGTGGTAAATGCTTTCACCAAGCTTAAGGCTTTGGAGTGTTCTTTAAGTGAAGCCCTTCTTGTCATAATTATTCTTGAGTCTCTTCCTGAAGAGTTTGAACAATTTAAGGTCAACTATAACTCTCTAAAGGAAAAATGGCCACTCTCTGAGATGACCGCAAGAATCGTCCAGGAGGAAGAAAGGATCATGAGGCAGAAGAAAGACCATGTCTTTCATGTTGGCTCTAACAAGAGAAAGCATGACGGACAAGGTTTCCCTAAGCCTCAGAAATGGCAAGTCAAGAAAGAAGGCACTAAGCCATTCAACCCTAAGGCATTCAAGGGTAAAGAAGCCGGTGGTTCTTCTTCTGCTCCTAGCAGCTCCACTGCTGGAGAAAATGCTTGTAACTTCTGCAAAGAAGAGGGACACTATCAAAGGGACTGCCCAGGCTTTCTAAAATGGATGAACAAAAGAGGTATTGATGAAATTACTTTTGTAGATGAATCACTTTATGTTGATTTTTCAATAAAGTCACGGTGGATTGATTCAGGGGCAACCACTCACGTTGCTAACTCTATGCAGGGATTCGATACGATCCAAACCATAAGAGGAGGAACAAGAAAGCTTAAGGTTGCGAACGGAGTTGAGGCCGATGTTGAAGCTGTGGGATCTCTCACGTTGGAGCTACACACTGGCCACACTCTTAGATTGAATAATGTTATTTATGTGCCTACCTTAAGTAGGAATTTGATTTCAGTTTCTCGTTTAGATGATGATATGTATGAGTGCCATTTTGGCAAGAAACAATTTGCTTTGATCAAATGTAATAAGAATGTAGGCATCGGTGTTAGACGAGGCCAACTATACATGTTATCTCTTCATAATGATTCAGTTATGCATGTGAGTGATGAAATTAATGTTGAGAAGAAATGGAAAGGAGTAAGTAATTCTTCGAAATTGTGGCATTGTCGTTTGGGCCACATTTCGAGGGGGAGAATGGAACGCTTAGTTAAAAATGAAATACTCCTCCCATTAGACTTCTCAGATGCAGACAAATGTGTCGACTGCATTAAAGGAAAATTTGCAAAAACAATTAAGAAAGGAGCAGTTAGAGCCACAAGGGTTTTAGAATTAATTCACACCGACATATGTGGACCCCTTAATGTTAAGTCTGTAGATGGTTTTGATTCGTTCATTACATTCACAGATGACTTTTCCCGCTATGGGTATATTTATCCCATACGTGACCGATCGGAAGCTTTGGAGAAATTCAAAGTCTATAAAGCGGAGGTTGAAAATCAACTGAACGCAAAAATCAAAGTTGTACGGTCTGATCGCGGGGGAGAGTATTATGGTAGGCATGCTCCTTATTGGCAGATTCCTGGACCTTTTGCTAAGTTCTTATCTGAAAATGGAATCATTGCTCAGTACTCAATGCCTGGTGAACCACAACAAAATGGTGTGGCCGAGCGCCGCAACCGCACCCTTATGGATATGGTGCGAAGCATGCTTAGTCACTCGAGTTTACCAGTAAGCCTTTGGATAGAGGCATTAAAGACAGCTGCACACATACTAAATCTTGCTCCAACTAAGTCAGCACCTAACACACCTTACGAGATGTGGGCGGGAAAGAAACCGAGCTTGAATTACTTACGAGTGTGGGGTTGCCCTGCTGAAGCTAAAGTTTTCAATCCACAACTTAAGAAATTGGATCCAAAAACAGTTAGCTGTTTCTTCGTAGGATACCCTCATAGGGGAAAGGGATATCGTTTTTATTGTCCAAATCACACCACCAAGTTTGTGGAGACTAGACAAGCGGTATTTTTTGAGTATAATGAGATCACAAATTTAAGGGAGATCGATCTTGAGGAGAAGCGGGTTTGTGTACCATCCCCGACTATCCAAGAGATTGTTTTTCCAATACGAAGAAATGTGACATCTGATGATCCTGAATCTCACGGTTCAGTCTCTTAGTCGAATGGTGATCCAGAAACTAATAATGAGAATCCAAACACAAATGAGGATCTCCGAGAAAATAATGAAAATGATGATGTTCCACCACCACCTCCGCCCATGGGTAGACCACGGCGTGAGAGGAAGAAAGCCATATCAGATGATTATATCACCTTTTTGATGGAGGACATGAATGATATGGGAAAGGTGGAGGATCCAACCTCATATAAGGAAGCCATTAAAAGCGAAAATTCGTCCAAATGGTTGGTTGCCATGGAAGACGAGTTGAAATCTATGGGCTCAAACGATGTATGGGACTTAGTAGAAGTTCCCGATGGAGCTAAGAAAGTAGGCTGCAAGTGGGTCTACAAAACCAAGTATGATTCCAAAGGGAATGTCGAATGGTTCAAGGCAAGGCTAGTGGCAAAAGGGTATACACAGAGAGAAGTCATTGATTATAAGCAAACTTTCTCTCCTGTGTCAACCAAGGATTCTTTCAGAATCATAATGGCATTAGTAGCT